ACCACGAACTCGCCAATACAGGTTAGTTCGTTTTCATTCGCCATTGGCTGTAAATTTTTTGCTTTCTGATAATAATTGGCTGCGAAATTGGATTGCATGTTTTGCTGTTTTCAGATATTTTCAGGACATACTGGTGAATGGCAGTTGGTCGAAAGTGGGCCGGGCACCGGACAGTTAATGCTCGATTTGACGCGTGTCTTGAAACAGCTTAAGGTTCGTTAAATTTTTTTTTCTCGGATTTCAATGTTGCTGGCACTTTTTTAAGCGGAAGCTGGGCAGAGTGGCTGTTCCACTGGTCCTTTTGTGAAGTTATTTAGCTTCGATGAACTGAGAACTAAGTCGAATAGAAATGTTGCTAGCTGCATCTCTGAGAAGAGGGAATGCTAAGAGTTCAGTCTCTAATATCATGCAATTATTGCTGAATGCATTCTAAGATTTTAGCACACACAAGTATCCGTGCATCTCGTCGAAACTTCCGATGCCTTGGTCCTTCAACAGGAATCTTTGCTTTGTGAACAGCAATCGCAGTTTGTTGTTGACAAGCCGTATATTCGATCCAATCGTACCAGATACGACTTCCCCGTTTACTGGTATCGTAGTGTCGATGATATCCCTGCGAAAGTAAATTTTGTTTAATGAATTTATGTATTATATATGGTTATTTTTATCAGGCAGACTAAATCTCGGCTCACTGGCATAAAAATAAAGCTGATCAATTTTGTACCTTCAGGCCTAATTTACTGCTGACGTTTTTTTCGAGACTTTGTAGGAACGATGATGTGATCGTGCAGTAGTGGGATGTGATCTCATTCGCTCTGACTGCTTTAAAATAAATGACTTTTCCCCAATCCAGATTAGACACGTGTTTGTTTTTTACCGTCTTTTGTTAGCTCATAAACATTGGACTGTTTATCGAAAAATATTCATTGCAGTTCTCAGTATTCATATGCAACGAATTTCTGGACGCTCTGCCGATAAATCAGTTTAGGAAAGATGCTGAAGGCAAATGGCATGAAGTTTGTGTTGCGCTCGATACAAATGATAACCTGTGTTTCATGTTATCGAAAGCCGAAAATCTGCACACCTTGTAGGTCTTCAAATTCTTTTTTAGGGTTTCAGGCCTGTCGCTATCCTTGATCATTCGCCCTTCCCACAGTGTATTTCATATCTGTTTCTTAAGGCCTGGCCTTAAAAAATGTCATATTTCTGGGCGCCTGTTTTTTGAAAACGCTTATTATCAAAATTCTGTTTCTCTGTGTGTATGTGTGCATGTATATATGTACGTATGTGTGTGTGTGTGTGTGTGGAGGTGTGTGTGTGTGTGGAGGTGTGTGTGGGGATGTATGTGCGTTCCAGTTTCTATCGGGAATTTTCACTGAGCAGGCAGGATGGCTAAAAACTTGAATTTTATGAGGATATTTCCTGCTTACATGTGATGTCATATTCAGTTTCCACATACGCCTGAATTCCACATACAGACATGTGAAAATTATTGAGTGGAAATTTCCCGACTCAAAGACCAGACAAAATAGGAAACTGAAAGTTTGTGCGGATCTTTCATGTCCGTTTGTGGTCAGATTTTGCTTCCATGTATGCCTGCGTATCGCGCATGGAGTCGTAATTTTTGCACGAGGAATTTTCTAGCCCGAGAAGTGTAGAAGAAAGAAAGCTGAAATTTTAGAATGATTTTTCTAGTCAATGTGCAGCTTCGGGAATTTAAATTCAGCATTCAGTCCAGTTTTTGTACGGAGACGTGAAGTTTTTGGCGAAGAATTTTATATTTCGAGAACTGTGACAAAGATT